TTGGTTGGTTGGTTGGTTGGTTGGTTGGTTGGTTGGTTGGTTGGTTGGTTGGTTGGTTGGTTGGTTGGTTGGTTGGTTGGTTGGTTGATTGGTTGGTTGGTTGGTTGGTTGGTTGATTGATTGGTTGATTCTCATGTTACTGTAGATGTGATTGGGAGTGAAACTCATTGCTGAGTGTAAAGTGTGAGTGTGAGTTTTTCTATGCACTTTTTAAAATTTCCATTGCACTAGTGTTTTGTACAGCTTAATGTATCGCTTACATATTCATTTGTAAATGATGTTCATATGTTCATAGTTTCTGCTTATAGTGTACATACACTTATTACATAATCCATATGTATAGTATGTTCATAGTATACCTATCTGTATATCATGCTGATAGTATTTAAAAATCTGTAAATTATGTCCATAGTACTGCCTTATCTGTATATTTATTGTACATTTGTAACATATTGTAGACACTGTATATCCTGTACTTACTGCTTATTGCACTTCTGGTTAGATGCTAACTGCATTTCGTTGCCTTGTACCTTACATGTGCAATGACAATAAAGTTGAATCTAATCTAAAGTCTGTGTTGATTGTGACCGAACACTAATGGTGATCGTGAGACTCATTTCTGCTGTGGTTTCTTTTGAATCACTTTTTAATGCATTCATTATTTCAGCAGCTTTAAAGTGCGTTTCTATTATCACCTGTCTGCTGCAGAAAGAAAGAGTGTTTAAAATGTCCAAATCTTGACTCTTTCTCCAGGAATTGATTATTTTGTGTTGCTCAAACAGGATCATTAAACTAAATTCAGATTTTCAAACAACAAAAGAAGAACTATTTTATTTCAAACTCCTGTTTTTGTGAACGGGCCTTTTCCACACACAGATGACAGATAATATGCTCTTGAGTTGTATTGTATTCAGCCACAAGTGAAATGGAAGGAAACTGTCAAAGGAAGTGTTTTTCTGCCGTATCACTCTGATGTTATCGCTCTTCTTCTAAACCTGAGCTTCACATTGAGAAACCACGAGAGAGAAAACCACTGAGACTCCAACAGCATGTGCTGCACTCCGACTGTGAGTGATTTTACTCTAGTTATGCCATATATATATATATTTCAATTGTGCGTATGGTGTGTGTAGATTTATATCAGTGTGTGTGTGTGGATTTATCAGAGTTACAGATCTATAGAATTCATATTCATGAGCTCCTAGATGTCTTTGGCTGCTGAGGTTGTTTCAGGCTTTTTTCTTTTTAAATCACTTCACCTTGTTTCACCTTGTTCTTCACAGATGAGAAGATGAGCGGCAGGAGATCTGTGTGCATCTTGATCTGTGTCTTCTGCTTCTGCTGTAAGTAAACTTCAGCTCGACTCTGAAACATGATTTTTCCCCAGCACAGGATAAAAAATAAAGATAACTGCGACTTTTTGTCTCATAATTCATACTTTGTTTCTCACAATTCTGACTTTTACACAGTTCTGACAATTTCACAATTCTGACTTATATCTCACAATTCTGAGTTTATATCTGTAATTCTGAGTTTATATCTCACAATTCTGAGTTTATATCTGTAATTCTGAGTTTATATCTGTAATTCGGAGTTTATATCGCAATTGTGAGTTTATATCTGTAATTCGGAGTTTATATCTCATAATTCTGAGTTTATATCTCAATTCTGAGTTTATATCTGTAATTCGGAGTTTATATCGCAATTCTGAGTTTATATCTGTAATTCGGAGTTTATATCTCAATTCTGAGTTTATATCTGTAATTCGGAGTTTATATCTCATAATTCGGAGTTTATATCTCACAATTCTGAGTTTATATCTGTAATTCTGAGTTTATATCTCAATTCTGAGTTTATATCTGTAATTCTGAGTTTATATCTCAATTCTGAGTTTATATCTGTAATTCTGAGTTTATATCTCAATTCTGAGTTTATATCTGTAATTCTGAGTTTATATCTCAATTCTGAGTTTATATCTGTAATTCTGAGTTTATATCTCAATTCTGAGTTTATATCTGTAATTCTGAGTTTATATCTCAATTCTGAGTTTATATCTGTAATTCTGAGTTTATATCTCAATTCTGAGTTTATATCTGTAATTCGGAGTTTATATCTCAATTCTGAGTTTATATCTGTAATTCGGAGTTTATATCTCAATTCTGAGTTTATATCTGTAATTCGGAGTTTATATCTCAATTCTGAGTTTATATCTGTAATTCGGAGTTTATATCTCAATTCTGAGTTTATATCTGTAATTCGGAGTTTATATCTCAATTCTGAGTTTATATCTGTAATTCGGAGTTTATATCTCAATTCTGAGTTTATATCTGTAATTCGGAGTCGTCGTGACCAGCATACATTGAAAAAACACCAACTCGTTGGCCGGCGACAGCCATGACGTCACTACCGGTACTACCGGTG